CTCTTTTGCTCATTCTTGTATCTTTTCTTATCCCATATAAACATGTATCTTTTCTTATCCCATATAAACACCACACATTCATCAAGATTTAAGTGTCGACTTCCTTAATGAAGCTACTCTAAATTACAACACATCACGTAATTGATCTCTGCTTATTTGTGTGTATCATTCTCCTCATCAATATTTTAAGCTATTTTTGAAATGGTACCAATTCTGTACTATTGTAGTGAAAGCTCTCTTAACTGATATTTAGTTAGCCAGTGTTTGCTGTATGCTTTGTATGATATGCTAATTGATACCCCTAGCATTAAGGTTAGGCTAATGAACTACTTTCTATCATTTCTGTCCATTTTTGTTTCCCTCCTTTAAGTTTTTATGCTTAGCAAAAGTCAGTGTGTGATGCCTGGGCCCCATCTCCAGAAAATCCAATACAGTTAGTCTGTGGTATGACTTGAACATCTGTGACTTAGAAGAGAAAAATAAATCTGTTTAACAAAATGTTGTATTTGCTTCTTAGCCTGTATATCCTAGTTATACTTTTCATTATCATCATATAATTTAATTAACTCTTAGATCAAAGAAATAGGATTATGGCAAGTTAGTTTCTGTGAAAACTAAGTCCCTTGCTTTGGAGTTACTCACAACTGGTTGGTAATTGTTGTTGAATTAAGTATGAAACAGACAATTATAAAACAATGAGAAAAGGTCATAAAGCGCTCGATATTCAGATTTGTTCACAAAATCTTTAGTTGTAATGCCATTTTAATGAAACTGGAAGCCGTAGCTTTTGCAGTGTGGGAACAATTTGTAGTTTATTCAAGACAGGAGGCACGTTAATCCCACTCAACAGAACCTTAGTCAAAGAAAAAGTTTTAGTCCTACATGAAAGATTTATATAATTTAAGTTAAAATGAAATATACTCATGGTTCCATTTTTGATCAAATGTTTAGATTTCCCTACTGACCAATTACCAGTTTTCTGTACACTCTATCTCTGTGTATGTGTGTTGTTTTATTCAGTTCATATAATCATAGACTGAAAACTGTAAGTGTCCTTAGAGAAAACAAACCTTGGGAAGTGATGGGACTTGCTGAATTTCATAGCTTATGAAATGGTGAGTCCATTACTTGAATCAAAGATATCTGTGCCAGTTCAGTGCTCTTTTCAGAAATACTTAATTGATTTTGGCATTGTTTTGTGTTACTGCTGATGAGCTGTACTCTGCTAAGAATATGTGGAACAAGTGAGGCAATTCATATAATCCCAGTCTCAGCCACATATTTGGGGCATTCCTTGCCATTTTTTAAGGCATTGGTTGTCATTAAGTAGTATTAGGGCAAAAAGAACTTTTCAGTACATGCTCTATTTCAACAGGAAAAAAAAGCAACTGTTGTCTGTGCTTTGTGTAGCCATTCTTCAAACTCCTCTTGAAAACAGTAATCTGACCCCAAAATAGGAATCAGTAAATCAATATGTATCCAGTGCCTCCAATGTTAAACACATTATGTAGTCTCTGGAGGGATACAACTATGAGTAAACAGACACAGGCCTGCAGCGGCACATGCCGGGTACTTGGGAGGTTGAGGTAGGAGAAGAGCTTGAACCCCGGAGTTTAAGGCTACAGTGCACTGTGATTGTGCCTGTGAATAGCCTCTGCACTCCAGCCTGGGCAATATAGTGAGACACTGACTCTACCAGACACAGTAGATCTGTGCCTTCTGAGATTTTTATTCTGACAGCGAATGTATTTAACTGCAGGTTGTAAATACCATAAAAGTGAAAATTCTGATATATGACTGTAGACCAGACCTAGCCTGAGAGAACAATGGAGAGGGCAGGATTCTTTGAAGGTTGCCATGTGGAATTGACGTTTTAGATGAATGCTAAAATATAAAAGTGGGAATTGTCAAGTGAATGTAGGGGAGAGAAGGGAAATTTGTGGAGAGTGGGCAGGGCTGAGTAAACTTGGCAGAGAGACTAGTCTGTCCAGAGGTGCTGGGGTAAGAAGGGGCATGTTTGAGTTTGGAAAGTGGAAACAAAGCCTATGGATCTACAGAACAAAAAGTAAGGAAGAGGGTGAAATAGGTGATCAGGAGGAAATGAGCAAAGGGTTCAGGTATGCAGGATCTTAATGTATTCATGCTTAGCCCTAATAATAGTGGGGAGTTATTGGTGGGTTTTTTAAACTCTCATTCTGGAGTCATTTTGTGCATTTCATATTTTTAAAACAATATCCTCTGGCTTTTCCAAGTAAATAGGAATAGAGGGGCAATGAGTTGATGTAGGATGGTGGCGAGGGGCAGGATGGTGGCGTTAGAGATAGAGATGAGGGCATGCAACATTTATGTTCAGAGAAGTATGCTTTATGGTTTGGTTTTGTTTTTGTGTGTCCATTGAAACTTCATACTTGTGTGCATTCCTAGTTAACCTTAATTATTTCTTACAACCAATCTATCAAGATATATAAGCTTCAGAGTCCTACTATACATTTTATTTTTTTCAGGTTAGGGTTGACTGTATCGTTTATTCTCTTGATCATGTAAGAACTGTGTTCTTTTATTTTTAAATTCAAGAAATGACAGCTTATTAATGACAATAATAAAATGAAAATATTGGTAATAAGATCTATTGTGCAATAACCTGAGTGTTGCATGGGGGACTATTTTAAACAAAGTGAAGAAGAACTTTGTGAGCATAATTTAAGAATAATTGATATTAAGAACTCTAATAGAAAGCAATGACATAGATGCAGTAGAAGTAAGTGTGGCTATTCCATAAGTGAATGATTTTTTAATTCATATTCACATAGCTTTTATTACATATTTATCATGCAGCATAATTTTAGAAAGTACTTCTCTGTCAGAGTGTTTTCCAATTTTGTTAAGACAAAAATTGCTAGAAATTGTTAGCATATATTCTTCTAATTTATTAATGGGAAACAGTGTACTATTGTTCCTCCTAATCTAGAATTTCCTTTGCGCTTACATGTAGTCAGTGGAAATAAGTCAAGCAGAAGGAAAATAACGACCTTGGATAGAGATATACTAGGATGCAACAAAATGTATACCCATTTGAAGAGATGTTAAGAAGTATTTGCTATAAACAGAAGTGTCTGGATGCTGATGGTAACCACTTCGAGCACCTCTTGTAATTTCAGAAGTCAAACATGACTTGTATTCAACTTATTGATTATTACAATATTAATATAGTTTTTTATTTCTTAAAATGTGTATACATTTTTTTCGCACCCTCAGTAGATTATCTGCAGTTTTTCCTATTTTCACCACTTTCAACATAGTTCTGTATTGAAAATAGAAATCTATGTTTAAATTTAAAATAATTTTATATATTTGCATTGCTTGATAATTATACTCATTTAAAATGTTATTACATCCTCTGATGAATGAAGATAAGTTTAAAATGTCTTTTAACGTTGGCAAATTTTATTTTGTTTTAAAATTTCAGGAAATTAAATAAATAGCATTGTACCATGAAGCAAGAACAGATGTAACTCAAAAGATTATATATTCTGTTTTCTTCTAAATTTGTTAGAATGAAGCTTTTACGGATTAAATGAGCTATGGCCTATACTAAGTAAATTCTGTTTTTATAAAATTTTCAAGTATGGATGATTTTGAATAAATATTCATGTAAAGATTTTTGAAAGATGCTTACACAGATTGCAAATTTTTTTAAATAGGAAAAAAGAAATTCTAGAAACTGTTAGGTTTGAGTTTTTATTTTAGGTTTTATGTTGAGACTGAATATTGTTACCAAGTTTAGTTATATGCTTATATACCTGGCTCTTATATTTTAAATAATGTTAATTAACCCTTTTTTAGGATCCCTGAGCTCAGGAATACCTTTTCATGTTAGTGTGTTTTTATGTTCATTAACTTACAGTTTTATCTTTATGTTACAACAAACCATAGTTGTGCCTTAAAAAAAAATTAGTATACGAGTGTTAATAATTTATGTTTTTATTTGAAAACAGCCATCTGTTTTTTTTTTTAATACCGCCCTCTTTAAAGTTTTCTCTCAAAAAGTAACAGTAATCAAGGCAACTTCTTCACTGGCTTTTTTATTATATATATGTGGGTAATTATTATAATGAATTATGGTATGCTTTTTTCGTTCCCCCATTGCCTGTTGTCTTCATGAACAGATTCGGTATGTTTCTAAAAGAGTGAATTAATTTTAGCACTATTTTAGGAAAAGTAGCATCGAAAAAATGTTTATTTAAAAATCTCACTTAATCCAAGAACATATGTAAATTGTTTTGTGCTATCTGTTGTTTTTGCTACCTGTTTCACTGGTGTACTGAAGTAGCAATGTTTCTTGTGGTCTGTTGCTTGTAAGCTGAAGTACTAGATAACTTCATAAAATCAGTTAATCACTTTTTTCATGGGTATGCTGAAGGCTTTATATGTGTGATATTTTATGTAATTCTTTAAACCATTTCTATGTTGGTTATTTCTAGTATAGGCAAACAGAAATCAGTCCAACTCATGCCAGAAGTATTTGGTTCAGAACTTGGGTTGTATAGCTAAAAAGAAAAGTTTGGTTAATTCAGAAAAGATTCGGAAGAAACCAGGAAATGTTTGAAACGTTCTGTTAAAAGCCAGAAAAATATTGTGAATCCATATGTATTCCTATAACAGGACTGAGAAATTGTGTGATATACCTGTTGTTGGACTCTTTTCAGATCTAACTGGAAAAAAATTAATTTATTTTCCTATTTATTTTAAGCATTTAGATAGTGCTTTTAAACTTTGGCGCATAAAATAATTTCATATTGTTAGAAGACTTAGTGAAGTAGACTTGGTGTACTTTGGGTCTTGTGAAACAGTGCAAAGATGCAGTAATAATTAGTGAACAAAATCTAAGTACACTTGTATAATCTCTTGTAATCATGTTGTCTGTCAAGAGTTATTAGAATGAATTTATGTTTTTGAGAAAGCATTTATTTAATGGTTTTATATAATATATTTTCTGTAAGGTCAAAAGAAATAGACTGGCAACCTTATTTTACTACACGCATTGTGGATGATTTTGGCACACACCTACGAGTATTCAGAAAGGCTCAACAAAAAATAACAGAGAAAGATGATCAAGTAAAAGGTGATATCTTCATTCCATTTGAAAATTAGGATTTAAAAATTTGTTTTCTTTTATCATTTTATGTATCTTGAATTGTTCTTTTATTTGTCCAGGTACAGCAGAAGATCTTGTAGATACCTTCTTTGAAGTTGAAGTTGAAATGGAGAAGGAAGTTTGCCGTGATCTAGTGTGCACTTCTCCCAAAGATGAAGAAGGTTTTCTTTTCAATATAACCTTTTTTAAGAAGAGTAGTTGGTTAGAGACAAGTTAGTGGAACCAGTGAATAAATCTAAGGGTGAAACTTTTCTTACATAGTGATGGGAAGCATAGAAAGAGACTCTTCATTCTGTTTTCTTTTTTAACTCTTAATTGAAACTGTCTTCTTTTAAAATATAGGAAACACATTTTCTAACTGAAAATTTTTTGTTTTGATCTATAGTCATTTATCTTCCTCTTGAACTTATTATTTATACTTTAAGAGTATACCTATTCCTAAAATATTTTCTCTAAAGTAATTATTATAATGATTTCAAATACAATTTATAGATTTGAATGAACTTATCTTTTATTTGTAGGAGTTTAGAACAGACAAGGACGTTTGAGCCAAGGACATTGTCTTTTCCCAGTTTTACAACTATTAAGTCTTTGTTAATTGACACATTTTTTAAATTAACAGGGTCATTTATATAATTATATTCCCAGGAAGTGTCAGCATAGGAACAACTACAGAAAAACCTTTCTAGTTATAGAAATTGTTTTCTTAGATTTTGAAAACGTGTTAAGCTTTTTAATTTCTTTCCTTTGCTCCTTCTTTTTCTTTTTTCTTCTTTTTACATTTATTGTACAACTCAGTTTTTAATTACTGGTTTGTTAGCACTGTTAGGAAATTTGACCCTTGAATAACACAGGGGTTAGGAGCACCAATTCTTCTGTGCAAAGATTTGTATATAACTTTTGACTGCCCAAAAACTTAACTACTAATAACCTACTGTTGACTGGAAGCCTTACTGATAATGTAAATAGCTAATTAACATATGGACTAGTATCTACATAGATTTTACGCATTCATGACATACCTAAATTTTTCTTAATTTCTTTGATATTTCTAGGCTACATGATTCATCTGTGAGGTTTCTCAAATTATCACAAATCTCCAACAAATTTTCCCATGTATTTATTGAAGAAGATCCACATATATGTGGACCTGATCAGTTCAGACCCCTTATTGTTCAAGGGTCAACTGTAATAACTAATGCTATAAGAAACAGATACATTGATGTGCAGTATTTTTATGTAAGTTGAGGTTTCTGAAATCAGTAAGGCTTCCAGTCAACAGTAGACTATTAGTAGTTAAGTTTTTGGGCAAATAACTTTTAAATATGCCAAGATAATTAATGTGTGGTAGAAGTGCAAAGCACATGGTACATCTAAAATTGTTTTAGGGAAAAACACTTTTGTAATTGAAGTTTCTTATAATTCAGAAAACTGGTTAAAACAGAGCAGAATTTCTAAAAAAAACGTTTGATTAAGGAATATTTACTACATGGAGACCGATGAAGGAATTTTCCATGAATACTGATGTATACTAATAGCTAAAATAATAAACCAGTGTAACCAGTAAACTTATTTCTACTGCTATTTTTGTGTGTCTTATATCAAGAATAGGTGGAAACTTAACATTTTCTAATGTTATTATAGCTACTTTTTTTGTTTGTTTGGTTGGAGTCTCACTCTGTTGCCCAGGCTGGAGTGCAGTGGCACACGCACAGCCACCTCAGCCTTGACCTGCTGGGTTCAGGCAGTCATTCTGCCTCAGCCTTCCAAGAAGCTGGAACCATAGGCCTGTGCCACTACACCTGGCTAACTTTTTTTATTTATTGGAGAGACAAGGTCTCACCAAGTTGCCCAGGCTGATCTTGAACCCTTGGGCTCAGGCAGTCCTCTTGCCTCCATCTCCCCAAGTGCTGGGATTACAGGTGTGAGCCACTGTGCCTGGCTCTTTTTTTTTTTTTATTACCTGCTGAGATACTGAAGGATTTTTCTTGAAATAAACATTGCACATGTATTTTTAAACGTGCAAATAACTTTTAAGTATGCCAAGATAATTAATGTGTGGTAGAAGTGCAAAGCACATGGTACATCTAAAATTGTTTTGGGGAAAAACACTTTTTTGTAATTAAAGTTTCTTATAATTCAGAAAACTGGTTAAAACAGAGCAGAATTTCTTTTAAAAGTGTTTGATTAAGGAATATTTACTACATGGAGACTAATGAAGGAATTTTCTATGAATATTGATGTATACTAATAGCTAAAATAATAAGCCAATATAACCAGTAAACTTATTTCTACTGCTATTTTTGTGTGTCATATCAAGAATAGGTGGAAACTTTATGTTTTCTAATGTTATTATAGCTACTTCTTCTGTTTTTAGGATTTCTAAGGGATTTGTGTGAGGTCTTATTATATTTATTGCTACCTCCTGGAGATTTCCAGAACAAGATCATGCGATACTTTGTCAGGGTAAGCTTAAACTTATACCAAATAATGGTTGTGAAGAAACCTAGAGCAATAGTTCTCAAAATTTTGGTCTGAAGAAACTGTTACACTCTTAAAAACTAAAGACTCCAAAGAGCTGTTATTTATATGGACTTTCTTTTTGATATTTATGTTATAAATAAAACTAAGAAATTTTAGAAACGTATGAATACGTAAACATATTTTTCCTTAGTTGGTAGATTGATGATATTGTCACATAACTCTTATAAATTTCACTGTATGTACATGGAGAATGAGAGTGAAAGACAAATAATATCTTATTATTAACACGGTTTTGATACAGACCATTTGAAAGGGCCTGGGAATGTCTGCCTAATCCCCAGAAAGTCCTTGGCCAAGATTTTGAGAGCTGTCTGACTTAGAGTTAGGTGCTTAAATTTTTGGTTTTAGCAAAATTATGTTGTTCATTTTCTTTTCTGTTGCTTTATCTAAATTAGGCTAGATAAAAATAACATTTCTGGACAGAAACTTAAAAACTGGGCCGTTAAAATTCTGCTTTTTCTAATTGGAACATTAATGTCAAATTGAATGTAAAGGAGTAATGTTTGACTTTGACTGTTGGTTATGATTGAGAAATGCTAACTACTTAAGAACTTACCCTGGTTGAATGGGTACAATGGAAGTTTTGAATTTTCCTAAATAGGAAAACATATGGTCTCTTTATCTTCCTGCAAAATGGATACTAATTCCTGAGGTGTGTTTTTTGGTTATTATGTTTTGTTTAAGCAATACCACACAATTTCCTAATACCTACCTAGCTTGGATTCAGTTAACTTCTCAGGTATGTTAATGGTACTTATGTGAAAGGTACATAAAAAACTTTGTTTTAATAGGAAGAGACTGATAGATAAAACTGTATATTGTTAAGGTAAATTATTTGGGTTGGTCATTCTCAAGGGTGGAAAATACCTGGCGTGTCTATCAATAAATTCGCATATACCACTGAAGAAAGACATTATACATCAGATATAGCACTCATTCATGCTGTGTATCAATTTGATGTAAGAATCTGTCTCAGCCGGGCTCGGTGGCTCAGGCTGTAATCCCGCGCTTTGGGAGGCTGAGGTGAGTGGATTGCCTGAGCTCACGGGTTCGAGACCCACGCGGACAACTTGGCGAGACCTCATCTCTACAATAAATCAAAAAATTAGCCGGGCGTGGTAGCACACGCCTGTAGTTCCAGCTACTTGAAAGGCTGAGGCGGAAGGATCACCGGAGCCCAGTAGGTCGAGGCTGCGGTGGCCAGGAGTGGCCACTGCACTCCAGTCTAGGTGACAGAGTGAGACTCCTACTCAAAAAGAAAAAAAAAAAGAATCTGTCTCCATGATATTCCAGACAGCTGCCATTGCATGACATCTCAGCAGTGTTTCTCATGACTGGCCGGCTTTTCCTTTTTGAATTTCTGTCTTTTCTTTGCTTCCTTGTCACTGTTCTCTTCAGATTTTTGTCCTCCTTTGATCTTTTTAGTCATCTTTTTGCCCTTTAACTCTTTTTCTGCTTAAGGTTTAAGTATTCAAGGTCTTCAGTCCTAGGCCTTTTTCTTGCTTATTCAGTCCAGTGATTTTGAACACCATCCAAATGCTGATGAGATCCAAGTTTATAGCTTTAGTCCAGACCCTTCTGAGCTCCAGGATACTCTGACTGGTTGCCCAGTTGAAACCAGTACTTGAGTATCCCACAACCCTTTTAAACTTAAATGTCTAGAAGTCCTATTCTTGTTTCCATATCCTGTTTGCCTCTTGGTCTTTTCTCCATCCCAGTAAATATATGACCATTCAGCACATTTTTCAAATTCTAAGACCTTCCAGAGGCTTACAAGACCCTACATGGTGTGACTTTGTTTACCGCTTTAGCTTTGTGCCATTACTGTGTCAAGGGAAATCAGAGCTGGACAGTGCTTTCAGTAGTAAAAACAGATTTTATTCAGGAACCATTGCAACAGGAGAAAAGAGACTTCAGTACAGAACTGCACTCAATTCTGTATATAGCAAATTGGGATTTATAGCCAAGGAGCAGGGTGGGGATTAGTAGATGGAAAATTACTAAACAGAAACATAAAAGGTAAGGGAGAATTCTGGCTAAACACACTTAATGGGATTCTTGTTGAAAGTAGGCCAGAATGATCAGATACCAGGGGTGAGGGAATAAGGAATTTGATCAGATATCAAGGGTAGAAGAGTTGTGGCTAAACCAATTTGACAGGATTCGTGCTGAAACCACTCATTACAAAGATGAGCAAACATGGAAGCCCAAGGCCTGATTTTAAGAAGATTCTGAGTAGCCTGATGAAAGTTTGGTCAGCAGTTACTATATTCCAACCACACTAGCATTTGCCCCCAGAAGTGTCGTTTTCCTCCCCACCATGGGGCTGCCTCATATACTTTTTTTCTCTGCTCAGAAGATTGTCTCTGTTTTCTTGGCTAAATTGTATTCATTCCTTATATTTTACTTAATATCACTTCCTCAGAGATGCTTTCCTCACCAACCAATCTAGAGCTGCTTGTTAATTTCCTATTATTGTAGGTCTGTTTTTCTTCATAGTATTTGCCATATTTTAAAGTAGTAGCCTTGTTGTTGTGTTTACTTACTTGATATTTCTTTCTCCCAAATGAACTGTAAGAGACCATAATTGTATTTATTATAATTTTACACTTAGTGGTTAATATAGTACCTGGCACATAGTCGGTCCTTCAGCTCCTTAAGGATTGACTCCTAACAGCCACAAATGAAGATCTGCCTTGTTACATGAGGTTACTATTTAAAATTAGTAGGGTTTTATTTATTTATTTATTAATAAATATAGCTTATTTAAAAGTAAATTAGAGAGAGAAAGAGAAGGGAGTTAGAAGATTCACTTCCCCAGTGTTGGGGAGGTGCCAATGCCTGGAAGCATGGCAACAGCCATAGCTCAGAGAGCACATGGCCACACCAGAGTCTAGCAAGGCAATGGCCCATAAGTAGGGTTTTAATGGACAGATATATTTTGCTCTGGATTTCTCTTTCAGGGTAATGTTTTGTTTCTTTTTGGTTGAATCTAATTGAGTGAGGATAACTATAGAGCACACATTTAGCAAATCAGTTTTTTAATTTTAAGTTGAGAGAAATTTTTTTATCAGTTTCCTTTTGTCAGTAATTAAATCTATTTTTCAAAAGACATTTTTGTTTAGATTAAATAACAGATGAAAGTGTTCTTTTCTTTGGATGGATCCTTTATATAGATTGTACAAATCACAGTATTTGAATAAGATAGGTACTTTTTTTTTTTTTTGAGTTAGAGTCTCACTCTGTTGCCCAGGCTGGAGTACAGTGGCATGCTCATGGCCACCCCAGCGTCGACCTGCTGGCCACTGGCAGTCCTTCTCCCTCAGCCTTCCAAATAGCCAGAACTACAGGCATGTATTACCAGGTCCGGCTAATTTTTTATTTATTGTAGAGACGAGATCTCGTCAAGTTGCCTGGGCTGATCCCAAACCCGCAGGCTCAGGAAATCCACTCCCCTTGGCTTCCGAAAGTCCTAGGATTACAGGCTGAGCTACGAGCCTGGCTGAGATAGTTACTATTTAATTGCATCCGTTTTCTTGCCATTACTGTTTTATTCATTTAAAGATTCATGGCTTCATTAACTTTGTATCTTTTAGGCCCCTATATTTGACAGCTGGTGGTGTCTTCTAGAAATTAAGGTGTCTTAAAATAGGAATTACATGGAAATGACTACTTACTTTGGAATATTTAGAGTTCTTACTAAAATAAATGCAGGAATTGTTTAGTAATATGATTAGCTCTTGACTAACCAAACCCTTTTATGAGGCAAATTAGGAGATCAAAGTGGCTTTCTAAGACAGATTAAAAAATTGAGTTAATAAGAAACAAAAATGTTTAGAATTCTTCCTCATGTGTTTTTTTCTTATTCTGAAAAGAATTTTTTTGTGTATGTGAATTTTCTCCTTATAAAGTACTTTTTAAAAATTGGACACATTTTGCCAGAGACATAATTTGAAGGAAGAAATTACATAAATTAATATAATTCTTGAGAAATTAGAGGTGAAAGCTAACCTTGAAAGAAGCAATTCCTTGTAATTTAGTACTGTAAAATGTCCCCAAAGACATTTCCAAACATTACTGTGCCTCCATTAGTCCCTTCTGGACATACTAATTTATCGTGGGGTACAAGTGTCAGAGATTTGTCTAGTACATCTTCTAAAAGTAGAATTATATAAAATGTTTCTTTAAAGGAAAATCCACATTCTATGAATTTTTATTAGAAAAATGACAAAGGTAAATTAGAGATATGAGAAAAAGGAATAAATAAATTGTCCTTTGCTTGGAAGAGTGAAACATCCTGTTAAGCTTGTTATCTAACAGCCTTCCTGGTATTCTTAAAAAATGGTGTTTCGTAAATTTAGATTTCACTGGCATTCAGGAATGAAGGTTGATACCAGGTGAAAACATTTATCGACTCAGTATTAAATTCTTAGTTTCTTTACTTCCATTCATTTCTTAAATGCCTGCTATGTTTAAAATAATGACCTGGAGAAGGTAGGGCAGGAGAATTAAATATTTTTGAAGGTTGAAAAAAAATCAGTAAATCATTCGGCCAATCCCACCTATATACAAAGGATTCTTTGGTAGCGTTAGTTAGTTAGAGAAATACAAGACATACAATTACATAGAAAATATTATGTGATAAATGCTATAAATATAGGGCATGAGTGTATTTTCAGCATGTAAATTAAAAAGTATTTCAGTTTATTTGATAGGATAGATTCTGTAGTTAGTTTTAAAAGGAAGAGCAGAATTTTGATAGGCAGGAGCATGAACAACTGCCAAAAATGGGAAGGTATATTCTTGGAGAATATTGAGTAGGTTGTGTTATCATATTTATTTTTAAAATATTTTTATAAGGAAATATTCATAGAAAAGCCTACAATAGACATGTATCAACCAAAATTTGTCATTTTAATATTTTACTCTCATTGTTCTGTTTTCTCTCTTGAAGTAACCACAGTTCCAATATTGTATCCTTTCCTTTCTTTGTTTTTATACGATTTTTAAAATTTTTATTTTAAAGATGTGGGGTATAATTCAGGGTTAAGTATAAAAATGGACATTGTACAGATAAATTTGGGGCCTATACACACCTTCAGTCTCATGTTTTGCCTTTTATTTATTTTTTATTTTTTTGAGTTGGAGTCTCACTCTGTCGCCCAGACTGGAGTGCAGTGGCTGCTCCCGGCCACCACAGCCTCTCCTGCTGGGCTCTGGCGATCCTTCCGCCTCAGCCTTCCAAGTAGCTGGAATTACAGGCATGCGCTACCACGCCCGGCTGATTTTTGATTTATTGTAGAGATGAGGTCTCGCTGCCCAGGCGGGTCTCGAACCCGCGGTCTCAGGCAATCCACTCACCTCAGCCTCCCAAAGGCACGGGATTACAGGCTGAGCCACCGAGCCCGGCTTGTTTTGCCTTTTAAAAATTGGTATCAGTACTAATGTACTAGAGGAATACCCTTTTGCTTTTTTTCACTCAGGTCTGTTGTTACTGTGGACATGTGTCCAGGTTGATATAGCTCATTTTAAAATTTAAACTGAGGTTTAATTGCTCATCTTTTTTATAAGATTGTATAGGTCATCAAGTTATACTTTTCATACTTTTCTTAAGTAACAGCATTGTGTTTAGGATTTTTGCATCATTCTATTGATTTGAGAAGCTTATTTTTTATACTTCTTTTTTGTTTAAACAAATTTTTTTTCCAGGAAATCCTTGCACGAGGAGTTCTTCTTCCATTAATAAATCAACTCAGTGATCCTGATTATATTAATCAGTATGTCATATGGATGGTAAGTACCTTTTAAAATGACAACGCTTTTTGAAACAATTTTCAACTGTAAAAATACAGTTTAGAGATCAGGATGTCAGCAATAATTACAGAAATTTAAAATGTTTCTAAAGTAATCCCTGTATTTCTCTTTGCTCTTATGTTAAATGTACTGGCTAGATTCTCTTTAAGAATTTGTTGATTATCATCTGTACACTTATGGTGCTACTATTTGAGGAGAATATTTTACTGCCCATGTGTACGAGGAGGACCCCCCCCAAAAAAGAACTTATTTATTAAAAAAAAAAAAGTTACGTAATTATTCTTACATGTTTAAACTTCAGTTACCGTTAAGGTACTCTCAATACATCTATGGAGATGCTTTTTCCACTGCTCAAAACAGTTTTTGTCAGTTTTGATGCCTTTTTGTGCTTCTGCCATTTTTTGTTTTACCACTCACACATGGGCAGAACATTTCCCTTTGAGGACTTATTTCATCCAGGGAAACAAAAAGAAAGTTGCTGGCGGAGAGATCAGGTGAATAGGGAGGGTGGGACTTGGGAGTCATACTCGTTTTATTGGTCAAAAACTGCCTCACAAAATTTCCAGATAAAAGCTTCGGTTCACCATTTGATTGAGAGGAACAAAATCTGGGTGTACTACAAGGGGCCCACCCTCTAAAAGACAACTCCTTTGTGTGTGGGGAGGGGGAAGGCCTTTTGTATAGATGATGGGCATTTTTAACAGTTGCTATTTGGCTTTAAATACTACTTGGGATCTGAACTACTTGAATAGCATGTATCTCAAATTTTATATTAAATAATGCAGGAAAACATGGAAGATAGAATTGTAGAGTGAGAATCAGACCTGCGTTCTTGATTTGTTTCTGTAAGTTGCTTAATGTGTCTATTGTAGTTAACTCATAGTTTTCTCCTCTGTCAGATATATCAGAGAGTTAGTGATTATAAGTTTATAAGTGCTAATTTTTTTTTCTTTTTATATATGGTTTTTCTTAATAAACTCATGGTCAGTGAGTTATAAATGTGCTACCTGCTGGGGATACACTTTAGTATATACGTTTAGATCTTAGATTCATTTTCTAGGATCTGGAATTTATTCTAAAATATTGGTCCTCATTAATTCATTATTGCTTTCCTAAGAATTACTTGATTGTTCTTTGATGTCTCTTAGGCATTATCAAGCTTGCCATTGTTTTATTATTGTTTTTCTTCAGTTGTTTCTCAGACCAGAGTATGGTACTTACTCAAAATTGTCTCATTAATTTTATATTCCTGGAGGCTTTCCTGGAGATCATAGAACTTGATTCTTCTTTTCCATTGCTAACTTTTTTAGAGTCCTAGTAGCACTACCAAAAACTTTCAAAGTATGTATAACCACACAATTTAAAATTTTTAAAATGCATATAATTTGGTTAGGAATTCTCCTAAAAATTCATTCTCAAGTGATAAGTTGCCACAATTTATAATTTTTAGTTTAAAATTAAAAAAATATTTTGCTTTAAACATTATAGATACATAATATACATATTTATGGGGTACATGGATATTTTGACACAAGCATACAATGTATAATGATCAAACCAGGGTAAAATTGAGGGTGTCCATCTCCTGAAGTATTTATCTTTGTGTTAGAACATTCCAATTCCATTCTTAGTTATTTTGAAATATACAGTAAATTATTGTTAACTATGGTTACCCTAATGTGCTACTGAATGTTAACTCTTATTCTTTCTAATTGTATTTTTGTACCCATTAACCATTCCCTATTTAAACAGTCCCTTCCTGCTACCATTCCTAGCCTCTGATAAACATCATTTGACTCTCTAGCGCCATGAGTTAATTTTTTTTTTTTTTAAACCACCACATATTAGTGAGAACATATACTATTTGCCGTCCTGTGCCTGGCTTATTTCGCTTAACATAATGTCCTCCAGTTCCACCTGTGTTGTTGCAAATGACAGGACTTCATTCTTTTTTTATGACTGAATAATATTCCACTGTATAGATGTACCACATTTTCTTTATTTCTTCATCCATTAATGGACATTAGGTTGATTCATATCTTAGATATTGTGAATAGTTCTGCAATAAACCTGAAAGTGCAGATATCTCTTTGATATACTGATTTTCTTTCTGTTAGATATATACCCAGCTTTAGAATTTCTGGATCTATGGTTTTTCCATTTTTAGTTTTTGAGGAACTTTTTTACTGTTCTTCAGAGTGATTTTACTGATTACGATTCCCAGCAACAGTGTGTGAGGGTTCCCCTTTTTCTGTATCCTTTGAAGAAGAGCCATTTTAACTGAGGTGAGATGGTATCTCATTGTAGTTTTAATGTGCAGTTCTCTGCTGATGAGTGATATTGAGCATTTTTTTCATATACTTGCTGGCCATTTGCATGTCTTCTTTTGAGAAATGTCTATTCATATGTTTTGCCTATTTTTATAGGCTATTTTGATTATTATTATTTAGATTATTATTATTATTTTGCTATTGAGTTTGAGCTTCTTATATATTATGGTTATTATTGTTTTTGTCATATAGATAGTTTATAAATATTTTATCCCACTATATGTGTTGTCACTTTACTCTGTTGATTATTTTCTTTGCTGTTCAGAAGTTTTTGGCTTTATGTGATCCCATTTGTCCATTTTTACTTTGGTTGCCTGTGCTTTTGTGATCTTAACTCAAGAGACCTTCTAAACTAATGTCCTGGGAGTGATTCCTTTGTGTTTTATTCTAGTAGTTTCATAATTTTAGGTCTTAGACTTAAGTCTTTAATTCATTATGAGTTGATTTGATGAGAGATAGGGTTTTAGTTTCATTCTTCTGTATATAGATATCCGGTTTCCCCAGCACCATTTATTGAAGAGACTATTCTATCCCCAATGAATGTGCTTGGCACTTTGCCAAAAATGAGTTGGCTCTATATGCTTGGATTTATTTTTAGGTTATTTATTTGGGTCCACTGTTCTGTGTGTTCTGTTTTTATGTCAATACTATGCTGTTTTGGACTATATATTGATAGTATACTTTGAAGTCAGGTAATTTGATACCTGCAGGTTTGCTAGTTTTGCTCAGGATTGCTGTGGCTTTTTAGGGTCTTTTGTGGTTCCATACAAATTTTAAGATTTTTTTTCCCTATGTCTGTGAAGAGTGTCATTGGTATTTTGGTATAGATTATACTGACTTTGCAGATTGCTTTGGGTCATATGGATATTTTAACAATATTCTTCCAGTCCATGAACGTGAGATATCTTTCATTTATGTCCTTTTCAGTGTCTTCATCTGTGTTATGTTATCATTTTTCTTGTAGAGATCTTTTACCTCTTGTTAAATTTAATTCTAGGTAATTTTTTTGTAGCTATTATAAATGAGATTGCTTTATTTCTTTTTCAGTTTCCTGTTGGTGTATAAAAATGATACTGATTTTCCTATGTAGATTTTGTATCCTGCAACTTTACTGAATATGTTTTTCTATTCTTACAGTTCTAGGGTGGAAGTTTTAGGTTTTTCTAAATATAAGATCATATAGTCTGCAAACAAGAACAAATTTACTTCTTCCTTTCCAATTTGGATGCCCTTTGTTTCTTTGACTTGCCTTATTGCTCTGGCTAGGACTTCCCATATGATAATAAGTAAAGGTGGTAAGAATTGACATCTTTGTCTAGTGACAGTTTTTAGAGGAAAACCTTTTAGCTTCCTTCCATTCATATGACATTAGCTGTGGGTTTGTCATATATAGAATTTATTCTGTTAAGATATTTTTTTCTATGCCTAATTTATTGAGAGTTTTTTTCATGAAAGGATGTTGATTTTATCAAATGCTCTTTTAGCATCTATTGAAATGATCATATTTTTGTCCTTGATTCTGTTAAAGTATATTATGTTTAATGATTTGCATATGTTACTACCCTTGGGCGAATCCCACTTGATCGTGATGATTGATCTTTTTAATGTGTTGTTGAATTTGGTTAACTAGTATTTTGTTGAGGATTTTTACATGTATGTTCATCAGGGATATTAACCTGTAGTTTTCCTTTTTTTATTGTGTCCCTGACTGGTTTTGGTATCAGGGTGTGTTTTAATTTCTTTTTTATTTTTAGTGTAACTATTACAGTTTAACTATTATAATAGTTTAACTATTATTTGCTTTGTGGTTATTGTGAGGCTTACAAAAAAGTATTATAACAAATTATTGTAAACTGATGACAAATTAACTTTGATTGCAAAGCAAAAAACAAAATCCCAAAAAGCTTTACACTGTAACTCCATCCTCCCCCCCAACACACATTTTGATACTTTGTTTTCTCAATCTGTGTGGTTTATGTTGTTCAGGGTCCACTTCTACCTCTAGTTCTCTTGATATTTTCATCACATCTGCCATAACTTCCTCCACTGAAATCTTGAACTCCTCAAAGTCATCCATGAGAGTTAGAATCAACTTCTTCAAAACTCCTGTGAATTTTGATAGTTTGACCTCTTTTCATGAGTCACAGATGTTCTTAATTGCATCTAGAATGGTGAATCCTCTCCAGAAGGTTTTGAATTGACTTTGCCTAGATCCGTCAGGGAAATCATGATCTATAGCCTTATGAAATGTATTTTTTAAATAGTGAGGCTTGAAATTTGAAATGCCATCTTGATCTATATGCTACAGAATGAATGTTGTGTTAGCATGCATGAAAACAACATTAACCTCTCTGTAAGTCTTTACAGAGTTTGTGGGTGATAAGGTGCATTGTGAGCTAGCAATAATATTTTGAAAGGAATCTTTTTTTTTTTTTTTTTTGAGCAGTAGGTCTCAACAGCAGGTTTAAAATACACTTTTTTTGTTCTGTTTACATAGTACTTGCAGGGTAGATTTATCATAATTCTTTAGGGGATTTTCAGAATGGTAAATGAGTGCTGACTTTAACATAGAGTCACCGAATGCATTAACCTCTAACAGGAAAAGTCAGCTTGTCCTTTTAAACTTTGAATCCAGACATTGACTTCTCTCTAGCTATGAAAATCCTAGATGATATCTTCTAGTAGAAGGTTCTTTTGTCTCTGTTGAAAATCAGTTCTTTGGTGTAGTTCTTTCATCAATGATCTTGGCTAGCTGTTCTGGATAACTTGGGGCAGCTTCTCCTCAACACTTACTGCTTCTTCACTTTGTACTTTTATGTCCTGGAGATAGCTTCTTTCCTGAAAACTCATGAGTCAACCTCTACTAGCTTCCAACTTTTCTTCTGAAGTTTCCTCACCTCTCTCAGCTTTTTAAGTTATCTCTTAAAGTGAGTTATCCTTACTTGAATAAGTCTGTTTTGACTTTTGACATGCCTTCTTTGCTAAGCTTAATCATTTATAGCTTTTGTTTTAAAATAAGTTTTGTGACTCTTCCTTTAACTTAAACATTTAGAGGCCATTGTTGGGTTATTAATTGACCTTATTTTAATATTGTTGCTTCTCAAAGAATAGGAAGGCCTAAACAAAGAGAGAGAGAGAGATGCTAGGAACAGCCAGTTAATTTGGCAGTCAGAATACATACAACATTTATTGATTATGTTTGCCATCTTGTTATGGGTATGGTTCATGGCACCCCCCCAAAAAAATTACATTAGTACTATCAAAAAGATCAGTGATCACAAACCATCATAACATATATGGTAATAATGAAGCAGTTTGAAATATTTTGAGAAATTATCAAAATGTCAAGACATGAAATGAACACATACTATTAGAAAAATTGTGTTGATAGACTTACTTGAAGCAGGGTGGCTATAGACTTTCAGTGTGTAAAAAAGCACACTAAAGCACAATAAAGCTAAGTGCAATAGAATGAGAGATGCCTGTATTCATTTCATTTTAATTACAAGAATGAAATTACTTTCCGGCTATTTTTTAAATTAATATCACTGTTACTATTTGAATGGTTGCTTTGGGGAAATACAGTGTTCTCTAAGTTATCATTAGCCTAGAGTACGACAGAACATAGAATCTGAAGAACCTTGCTGCAGAGTCATTTTAATTCAGTCCCTATCCTTTTCTCTTTTGTCATCATATATTTTGCATCTCCATGCATAATTCATTTCACAATGCCACGTTAATGTTTGCATTAAGCAGTCAGCTGTTCTTAAAGAAACTAAGAACAGAATAATATCTTGTACATTCATCCCCATATTTACCATTTTCAAGCTGTTCATTCTTTTTTGTGGGTGTCAAATTTCCATTTGCTGTCATTTCTCCTCCTTCTGAAGAACTACCTTTAGGATTCTGCGTATTGCTTATTTGCTGAGCTTTTGATTTTTTGAAAATATCTTCATTTTACTGCAAAGTTTGAAGGATATTTTCATTGGTTATAGAATTCTGGGTTGGCAATTTTTTCCTTTCGTACTTAAAAAAAAAGTATAATTGTCTTCTTGCCTCCAAAGAAGTTAATTTGCTCAGTGCCATCGATCCCCTCCATGTAATGTGTTTTTGTTTTTGTTTTTCATTGTCTGGGCTTTTACTGTATTTCGTTCCTTGACTTTTTGTTGACAATAGAAAATATCCCATATCTACTACCTTTTCACAGCTCCCTCTTCCTATTGTGCTTAGTTTAAATTTCATTGACAGTGATATTTACTGTTCTCTCTACAATGTCCTCTACTCCTTTATCTCTGACTGTCATTTGCTAGGTGATACCACAGCCCTGGTTAAATCCAATACTACTGCCAACTCTATTCCAAACCTACTTTTATCTCATTTGAAATTTATGAGCACTAATCTTAACTGTGCCCTTTAAACTTACCTTGCAATTGTTACATTTTTCCTGTTCTATTTTCTGCTCCACTCTTCTGAATAGCTCTTTACTACCCCCTCCAGTTTTATCTAGTACTTTTTCACCCTTAGCCCATGACCTACTGGAATAAATGAGGTAATCAAAAGAGAACTTTAATAATGTCCTGTCATCACATATATTCATTACTATCATTTATACACATTCTATATTTTCTTCTGTTTTTGTGGATGAAGTATCTGTGCATCTAGCTAAGACAGCTCCATTACTTGTGCTCTATAACCCACTTCTAGACAATTTTATTTTATTGCTTCAGCAGTTTGGCGCTTTCTGTCCTTTATCATCAAATTTTTACTCTCTGCAAGATCATTCTCATTAGCACACACTTGTTCTGTTATCTCTCTCATTTTAAAAACAAAAACAAAAGAAATTTCTGATCATATTTTCTACTTTAGGCCCCTTCTTTTTATGGCATAACTTTCATAGTCAAGAGAGTTGTCAGTGAAACAAAGAGAAAAGAAAAGACTCCTCCAATAGAGTTTTCTAGGTCAAGAAGTGTGATCTCCATTGTTAAATTTTATGGTCAGTTCTTAGATTCTCCATGTTTTCTTTGTCCTTTATGAAACATTTGACATACCTTATTATTTTCTTTGTTACTTTATTTTGCTTGTTAAGGCACCATACTTTCTTGGTCCCCCCCCAACTTTCTGTCTTTTCTCAGTCTTTTTTGCTGTTTAGTAGTTCTGGGTGTCAGTCCTAGAGTTTTCTCTTTTCAGTCTGCCCTCATTGCCTTAATGATTCCCATCCACTTTCATGGTCTTAAGTATCAGGTATCAGTGACTTTGAAATGCATATTTCTTCCTAGTTCTCCTTTCTGAACTCTTGTCCTTCAGATCCCAAAACATGCTTATTGTCTCCATTTGGATGTTTAATGGGATCTCACCTGTCCAAAACCAAGCTCGTGATATTCTGCACCCCTCCCACCACATAAAAACCCTTGCTCTTCTTGATATTTTTCCCATCTTGTTCATTGTTCTAATCGTCAGGCCAGCAATCTTGGTATAGTTCTTCATTCTTTGTATTTCATATCCGTGTCTGATGTGTCAGCAAATTCTTTTGGAAACAGTCCTCTACTGGAAGAGACTACGTAGCACTTTTTACTACACCCCCACTGCCACCATCTTCTTCCATTTTATTATTAACTTGTCTTTCTTCTACTTTTAACTCTGCCTTTATTCTGTTTTTATATAGCATCACAGTGATCCTTTTATATTTCAGGGAGAGTGCTACTCCTAAGTGCTAACTTCTCATTTTTGTCAGAGTAAAAGCTAAGATCCTTAGACTATACTACAAGGTTTGTCCTTCATTGTTGCTGACCTACCTTCTACTCCTCTGTCTTGTTTGATTTGGTTCTAGCTATCATGGCTTCCTTGCTATCATCTAACATTTTGAGCATACTCCTGTACTTTCTAGTGTGCTGTATATTATATTTTGCTTACAGTCTGTGGCCCATTAAAATGTAAGTGCCAAGAGTGCAGGTTATTTATTTATATATAAGCTTTAGGTATGTAACACATTGGTACATAGTAGGCACTCAAGATTCAATTTTCCTCTTAATACATGAGCTCTCCTCCCACCTGCTTTTTTAAAACTTTCTTTTCAGATCCGTGATTCTAATTGCAATTATGAGGCCTTTATGAACATTATTAAATTGAGTGACAATATTGGAGAGCTAGAAGCAGTCAGAGATAAGGCAGCAGAAGAATTACAGTATCTTAGATCTCTAGATACTGCTGGTGATGGTAAGTAATTTATTTAGGTGAAAATTTGTCTTAAGGACTATCACATCTTCAAAACTTTGATTAATTTACCTAAAAGTCATTTTGGTTGTTGTTTTCACTTTAATTAAATCTTCCTTATTATGTTACCATGTGTTTAGAGTAAAAGCATTATTTTCTGAATGTGATACTGTGAATATTATAAGTATCTCTAAAGATAATTGGAATGCTTTAATTTTAATTAAATAATTTTACTATACAACTTTAGATTATTTCTTTTAATGAATAAAATAATTGCTCTATTTATTGATTATTTTGTTATTTACAGTAAGTGCATGTTTAAGATATTTCACAAACAACTTTAACCACTTTCTAACTCTTAATAAATTTGTTTGTTTTTAGATATCAACACTATAAAAAATCAAATAAATAGCTTACTATTTGTAAAGAAAGTGTGTGACTCAAGAATACAGCGGTTGCAGTCAGGCAAAGTAAGTAAAGTACTTTTGAATAAACATTTAGTTATAAATTGTTTATAGTGATTAAAATGTCCAGTAAATGACACAAAATAGTATATTTACCAGTGACACACTTTACAACAAGACTTTCATAAAAATTTTGTCTTATACAATATAGCATGATAGTATTTGTTTAAAATATGCCAAAGAGATTAATTTCAACACTACCCCAAAATGGTAAGGTAATTAAAGATTCCAGTCTACTTTTTGATTTATATATTCATTTACTCATATGTTATTTAGTTATTCAAAATTTGCCATTTGTTGAATTTTGTGGATTGGGCACACAGTATTGAATTTTGATGAGCCAAATAGACAGTCTCGTTTCATGGAGCTTACATTTTAGTTGCAGAGTCAGAAAATAAACAATAAGCACATTTATGTACCTATTGGGTGCTGATGTCTGCTATGAAAGAAGTATGTATGGCAAAGTAGAATAGAGAAAATGTCTTGTACTGTTTTAGGTAAATGCTGAGAGCTTTGGTGACATTTGAGCATAGAGAGATGTGAAAAAGATGAGGGTATTAGTCTGTGATTTGCTTTTGTTTGTTATTGAAGATCCTTTTAGGCAGATGTGAGAGCAAATGCAAGGGCCTTGAGATGGGAATGTACTTGGTGAGTCAGAGGAAGTCAATGTGGCTGGTATGGAATGAATGATGTGTTGTACTAGTGATGAAGTTACAGAAGAACCTGGGGATTAGATCATATGTGGTTTTACAGTCCCTGGTAAGATTTTTATTTTATTCTAGTTGTGATGGAAATCAGTTGGAGATTTGCCCTGGCAAGTGACAAGTTGTGAATTAAGGTGATTACTTTGGCTTTTTGTGAAGAGTAGACTGTGGTGGGATGGTGGGGGTGAGAATGGAAGCTGAGAGATTGTTTATAAGACCTGCTTTAAATCAGATAAGAGATGTGAGAAGTGAGTAGTATTAACAGAATTTGCTTACTGTAGTAAATATGGGGCAAAAAAGAAAGAACTCAAAGATGATTCCAGGGTTTTTGGTTTGAGCAACTTTCTAAATAGTGATGCTGTTTACTAAAATGGGTAAAACTGAGGGAGGAGAAGGCTTGGAAGAGAGAAACAACTTTTGGATATTTTGATTTGAGATCCCTGTTTGACAGTTAAGTAGACATGCTAATTGGTAATCTTGAGTTCGAGGGAAAGTTTAGTGATGGAGGTAAACTTTGTGAATCTCAGAATTATCAGATGTTTATTTAATGTAGAGAGACAGGATGAGGTTATCTAAGAGAGTGAGTTTAAGTAAGAAGATAGCAGTGACTTGATCCTAAGACACTTCAGTGAATAGAGTTTAAGACAGAGTGGAAGATCCATTCAAGGAAACACAGTAAATAAATAGCTGGTTGGTGAGACTGAAGGAAACTTGGGCATGCGATGTCCTAGAAGACAAGGGTAAAAAGTATTTACAGAAGGGAAAAGATTTCATTGAGTTTGATGAAAACTGAGAATTGACCGTTGGGCTTGCTACCATGGGGATTATTGGTGACCTAACGAGAACAGTTATGGTAGAGTCGTAGAGTAGGAGTTTAAATTCACTCAACAGGAGTATTTTATTAGGAAACAACTTGCCTGAGAAGGGAAGAACTTTATTTTTATTCCATTTTAATTTGATGTTTTTTTCCTTATATTTATGTCAAGATTTTTAACCTAATGAGTGATTAGATAAAATATTAACCTGTATTCACTTTTGTCTGTAGGAGATAAATACTGTGAAACTGGCAGCAAACTTTGGGAAACTTTGCACAGTCCCCCTGGACAGCATTCTTGTAGACAATGTTGCACTACAATTTTTTATGGGTAGGTAAATCCATTTTATTTAAATGACATAAACGTTGAAAATTTTTTTCCCAGGTTTATTTTTTTTTTTTTATTTTTTACTTTTTAGTTGGAGTCTTACTCTGTCACCCAGACTGCAGTGCAGTGGCATGCTCACAGCCACCACAGCCTTGACCTGCTGGGCTTAGGCGATCCTTCTGCTTCAGCCTTCCAAGTAGCTGGAACTACAGATGCACGTCACCACATTCAGCTAATTATAGTGATTTTTTGTAGAGACGAGGTCTCACCAAGTTGCCCAGGCTGATCACGGACTCCTGGGCTCAGGTAATCCTCTCACCTTGGCCTCCCAAAGTGCTGGGCTTATAGGCTGAGCCACTGTGCCTGGCCTCAAGTTTTTTTTTATTGTGGTGAAATACACAAAAATTTAATATTGCATTTGGCCTTGATGGCTCAGCCTGTAATCCTGCACTTTGGGAGGCCGAGGTGAGTGGATGGCCTGAGCCCACGGCTTCGAGACCCGCCTGGGCAACTTGGCGAGACCTCATCTCTACAATCAATCAAAAATTAGCCGGGCGTGGTAGCGTGCACCTGGAGTTCCAGTGACTTGGAAGGCTGAGGCGGAAGGATCTCCAGAGCCCAGCAGGTCGAGGCTGCAGTGGCCGGGAGTGGCCACTGCACTCCAGTCTGGGTGACGGAGTGAGACTCCAACTCAAAAAAAAGAAATTCCTTGAGGGAGAAGGAGTGAAGTTGATAAATGCCAGAAGGATTTGGAGGTAGGCTGAGTCTTTTTTTTTTACATTATTGAAGCAAATATTTCAAAATAGATGAGACTTTGGAAAATATTTCAATATCTTTGATGCATCCTATATTGAGTAACATCTAATAGTGCACACTCAAAGAACATTTGAGAATGACATCTATAGTGTGGTAAAATGCCAGCACTCTGTCCGGTCATAGCAGCTGTTTTCCCCAGCACCTATAAATTGCTATCTAAAGTCATGTATTCCTGTGAAAAAAAACCCAAACCAAGGTTTTACAGTGACCTGCTCTGGGAAAACCCGACTTGTGACCAGAAATACAGTTCAACCAATCAATTTAAATATTGTGGTCTCTTATTACTTGCCAGATTCAGAATACAGCATGTCTAAAACACAGAAATTCTCTTGAAACATTTATAATTTTATTGGTGTCGATCAGTGACTCTCAACACGGGTTCGACATGAGAATCACCTAAGCAATTTTGAAAAGCACAGTACTTGTCCCAGCAATTCTGATTGCTGGGCATCAGTATTTTCAAAACTCCTCAGGAAATCCTGTGTGCAGCTCAGTTTGAAAACCGCTGGTATAGCTCATCTCTCTTTTTCTTCTCTTTTTTGAGTCAGAGTCTCACTCCATTGCCCAGGCTGGAGCACAGCGGCAAGCTCACAGCCACCCCAGCATTGACCCGC